CCTGTCCGCCGCGAGCATGTCGCCGTCATCCGTACCGAGGATCTATAGCCACCGTAAACTGTAGTCCGTTTCCCGAGCAGAGTGCCAGCCGTCTGCCTTTTTCCGGCGAAACTCAGTCCACCGGCGTCACTCCAACAAGTAACTGTTCGTGAGAAGCCCCCTCTTTCTATCCGTACACGACAAGAAATCCTTGTAAACGATCCTTGTTGGAACTAACTTTAGGCGAAATACATCGCATTAATCCAGGAGCTTTCATATTGAATAATTGAGAATCGAGACTGAATAGCGGAAGCATACCTGAATCCATAGGTGATTGATTTGGGGATTTGACCTTCTAGGTCTATACGATCGTGTACCTTTTCAGAGAACTCTTTAGCTTTTCTCCGTAACCTCTCTGTCGATGGGATGCAGAAGAGGTAATCTGTCAATGTCGTATGACCTAGGGACCACAGCCCTTTTATGTACATTAAGTTACATTGGGCATCTCTATTTTAGCCCATCATTAACATAGAAAACTTATTAGTTTCTACACATTAAAGGCCCACACCCTATTGATACTTTAAAGCCCAATATCTTTAAAACTTAATTGATCACTTTTACTTGGGCTTCTTTATTTGACAACCACAATACAATAATTATTTCACATATTAGCCCAATGTTGGATTAAGGATCCAACAATCTCCCACTTGGGCTATATGTGTAACTTTATAATTATGTATTGCTAAATAACCTTATGAGCTCAAATTTGTTGTCATAACCAAAAGTATCATTAACCAATCCGGTCCATCAATCACATCAACATAGGATCAAAGTAGCATTTTTTACATTTATCGCAACTCAACCATCAATGGTCACAATGTTAATACAAATGAATGACATGGATTATGATGTGGATGTGTAGCATGGAAACTACATGAAGTGTGATCGTCACATGTCTGTTCCAACTTGGTCCACCTGAAACTTAAGTGAGATAAACCATATTCCATAATCAAAGTGTGAAATAACCGAAACTTAAATTCTGCAGAAATAACCTCAAAATATCCATAAAACTGAAGTAACATAAAATGTATCTATATCAAAGAAAATTACAAACTGCCACTAAAACTGAATATCTATCAAAGGCATTACACCCATAAGAGCAGTAAGCTCATGGAACGTTTTGGGTGGCAACCCCTTAGTAAGCGGATCCGCAATCATGGAGTTTTTTCCGATATGTTCGATAGACAATTGTCCACTTTGAACTCATTCTTTAACAACTAGGAACTTGATGTCAATATGTTTTGACTTCGAAGAGTTCCTATTGTTACTGGAGTACAGCACAGCCGATTTATTGTCACAAAATAACTTTAGTGGTCTTTCAATGCCATCCACTATGCGCAGCCCTGTGACAAAATTTCGAAGCCATACTCCATGGTTGGACGCCTCATAACATGCTATAAATTCTGCAGCCATGGTAGAAGAGGCTATAATAGACTGTTTAGCACTCTTCCAAGACACAGCTCCTCCAGCTAGCAGAAAAATATAGCCTGAAGTAGATTTCATAGTATCTTGGCATCCAGCAAAATCAGAGTCGGTATATCCAACGATCTCAAGCTGATCCGACCTCTGATATATGAGCATGTAATCTTTTGTTTTCTGTAAGTACCTCAAGACCCTTTTAGCTGCTTTCCAATGGTCTAATCCCGGCTTACTCAAATATCTGCCAAGCAAACCCACAATGTACGCAATATCTGGACGCGTACACACTTGGGCATACATTAGACCTCCTACTACTGAAGCATAAGGAATTTTCTGTATTTCTATTTCCTCAAAATCATTCTTAGGGCACTGTTTGAGACTAAACTTGTCTCCCTTAGCAACATGGGTATCTCCTGGTTTGCAGTCTTGCATGCCATACCTTTTGAGAACCTTTTCGATATAGCCCTTTTGTGATAAGCCCAAAGTACCCCCGAGAGCGATTTCGGTGTATTTCTATCTTTAACACAAAAGAGGCGACACCAAGATCTTTCATCTCAAAATACTTAGCTAGAAATTTCTTGGTGTCGTGCAGTAAGCCTATATCGTTGCTGGCAAGCAAGATGTCATCGACATACAAAACCAGAAATATATACTTACTCCCACACAACTTATGGTATATACAATGATCAACCAAGTTCATCTCAAAATCAAACGAGTTGATCACTTGATGAAACTTGAAATACCATTGTCTAGATGCCTGCTTGAGCCCATAGATGGATTTCTTAAGTTTGAAAACCATATTCTCTGAGTCTTTGTACTCAAAGTTTTCTGGTTGCACCATATAAATAGTCTCATCAATGTCGCCATTGAGAAACGCTGTCTTTACATCCATCTGATGTAACTCAAGATCAAAATGCGCCACTAGTGCCATTATAATCCTAAAAGAGTCTTTCGAAGAAACTGGAGAGAAAGTCACTTTATAGTCAATGCCTTCTTTCTGTGCAAATCCTTTTGCAACAAGACGAGCTTTGAATCTTTCCACATTGCCTCTTGAATCCCTCTTGGTTTTAAATATCCATTTGCAACCAATGGGTTTCATACCTTCAGGCAATGGGATGAGTTCCCAAACGTCATTGTCACTCATAGACTTTATCTCCTCATTCATAGCATTATCCACTTTTGAGAATTTGAACTTTCCATGGCGTGATGAAAGTTGATAGGATCATCTTCCATCATTCCAATGTCAACCTCATTTTCTTGGAGAAACACAATATAATCATCTGGTATTGTATTTCTTCTTTCTCTCATGGATCTTCTTAATGGCACAGGTTCTTGAGGTTGTAGAATTTGTTTAACAGGAGGTTCTCTGACATTGTCCTGATTTGTGTCCTCAACAATGATAGGAGCAGAGTCCTGATCAATGCTAACAACACCTATGGGAATATCAACATATTCCTCTTCAAAGACAATGTCTCTAACATCATCTCCCCCCGCAAACTCAACATCCTCAAAGAACCGAGCATTTCCAAACTCAAAAATAGACTTGTTTGTGGGATCATAAAACTTATACCTGTTCAGAATACCCAACATAATAACAACTGATAGTCCTTGCATCCAGTTTCTTTTCATTAGGCCTATATGGCCTAGCCTCAGCTGGACACCCCCAAACGTGCAAATGCTTTAGACTGGGCTTTTTGCCTGTCCAAAGTTCATAAGGGGTCTTATTAGTTGTTTTAGTTGGAACTCTATTAAGGATATACGCTGTAGTCTTTAGTGCTTCACCCCATAGCGATTGTGGCAAGGTAGAGTGACTAATCATACTCCTTACCATATCCTTAAGCGTTCTGTTTCGTCTTTCAGCAACACCATTCATAGTGGGAGAACCCGGCATAGTGTACTGTGGGGCGATACCGCATTCCTCTAGGAATTTAGCAACCGGTCCTGGACGTTGTTCACCTGAACCATCATATCTACCGTAGTATTCACCACCACGATCAGATCTAACAGTTTTAATCCTTTTGTTGAGTTGATTCTCAACTTCAGCCTTATAGGATTTGAACACGTCCAATGACTGTGATTTTTCATGAATAAGATATATGAAGCCATATCTTGAATAATCGTCTATGAACGTTATAAAATATTGTTGACCATTCCAAGCAACTGTAGGAAATGGCCCACAAATGTCCGTATGTATAAGTTCTAAGACGTCTGAAGTCCTATTGGCTTCAAATCTCCTTTTATTGGTTTGTTTTTTCTTAATACAGTTGACACAAATGTCAAAATCTATAAAGTCTAAGGTGTTGAGAATATCGCCGGACACAAGTCTCTCTATTCTCCGTTTGGAGATATGACCTAATCTCTTGTGCCACAACGTAGCTGAATTCTCATCAGATAATTTTCTTTTCACACCACGTGTATTTAAATGCAGAGATTCATTGAATGAAGCAATAATATCTAGTAAATAAAGATTATCATAACCTAATAAAGAACCAGAACCAACCAATTTTGAATCATGAAACAAACTGAATTTTCCACTTCCAAATGAACAAGAATAACCGAATTTGTCCAAAACAGAAATAGAAATCAAATTTCGTCTAAAAGACGGAACAACAAAAGTCTCATCAAGATCCAAATAATATCCAGTCTTTAACAATAATCTAAATTTTCCAATTGCTTCAACTTCAACTGTCTTGCCGTCACCCACATAGATGTATCTTTCACCATCACTTGGTTTTCGGCAATGGAGGCAACCCTGCATGGACACACTGATGTGAGTTGTGGCACCAGAATCTATCCACCACGTGTGTCTAGGAACTGAAGTTAAATTAACCTCAGAACAAACCAAATTAAACAACATACCTTTCTTAGCACGCCAAGCGTGGTAGTTGGCACACTGCTTCTTTGTATGCCCTTCAGCCTTACAAAAGAAACAACCTGAAGTGGTGTCATGATTGACATCATTAGACACACTAGGTGTCGGTTGTTGTTTCTTTTGTGGGACTGTATTTGCAGCTTCCTTATCCTTATTTCTCTTTATTCCCTTGCCCTTATTTTTTGAAGTAGAGGCAATATTAGAGCTTTTTGTCTTATCTAGCTTCAACCTTTCCTCTTCTTGGACACAGTATGAGATGAGCTTATTCAGAGACTAAGTCTCCTTCTGACAGTTATATCTCACCTTAAACTGGTTAAATTGTCCTGGAAGAGATAACAAAACCAAATGCACTAGCAATCCCTCAGAGAGTTCAAGCTTAAGTGCTCTTAATTCTGAAGCAGTATGAGACATCTCCAAATTCTCTAATATTACCTTTACCACCATACCTCATTGAGATAAGATTTGCCAAAAGCGTACCAATTTCAGCCTTTTCGTTCTTGACGAACCTTTTCTCAATATCTGCAAGGAATTCCTTAGCAGTAACGATATTTTCAGACATAGTGCCCCTGAATGCTTCCGGAATGGCTTTCTTTATGATCATCATACACATGCGATTTGATTTCTCCCATCTTTCGAAGTCCCTCTTTTCATCCGAAGAACTGTTATCCGTCAGAGGGGGTGGAGAATCAGTCCTTATCGCAAGGTCGAGATCCATGACACCGAGAACTATTAAAAGATTCTCTTGCCATGCCTTAAAGTTTGAGCCATTTAGCATAAGAATGGAGTTGATGTTGGCAGTGATATTAGCAGAAGTAGACATAGTTGAATCCATAGAAAAATAAACTTATTATGCTCACGAAAAATACTTAGAATTAAAATCATAAATACAAATAAAGGTAACCTCATCTCAAGACATCGCAACTCCATTAATATTTTATCCTTGGACAAAATATTAACTTGTAATTGACATCTTGATCCAGTAATAAAACATTGACAATAAGAACATATCAAACAATAAATCTTCCTTTGGGCCGACTTATTCTTCACATGTAAAACCAAATAATCATCACATGTTTATTACCGCAATAGCACAAGTAATTCTAATGAGTACTCCCCTTCCTTTGGGCCTGTTAATACTCACTCAAATTGCATGCACCCGTATCCTTTTATATTTCAAAACAAATTAATTTCCACAAAAGAGGTCGCTTTGGCGACATGTTGCTTCAATTAATCTATCTCAAAATATATAAAACTTCATACCAATATTCGAATCCAAAATTTAAAATTCTAAGACCGAAAAATAGATTTGGGCTTAATCTTTAAATTCACAGAAAAATAAACAATTTTAGGCCATACTTAGACCAATCAGTTGAATCAATACCACTCAAATTCATATCCCAGAGTAAACATAACCCATCTTTAGCAATATGCAATTCACATAATGATTAAAAAATCAACTAAGCCTTGATTAATCAAAACTGATTCCTTATTGCACATAGATGGCAAACAATACTTATTAATAGATCTGAATAGCCATTTCAATAATATTCAAAATGAATCTATAAAAAAACTGCATGAATCCAAAAGGTATCTGAACCCATATAAATTGACAGCACAACATGCAATATCAATCCAAATCAACAAATAAAAATCACATCTCACAGCCACGACAATTCGATGCAAATAAATCATGTCCTTTCTGATTGATTCATCCAATTACCCATGAGTGTTCAATAAAAAAAATGAATCTCATGAAATTGCGATTTCGATGTGACAATAACATTCGAAATTCGCATACATAATTAGGACAAAACGAATTCATCACCGTATGAATCGAACAAATTACAATTGATTCCTAAAATACAATATAAAGAGGCTCTGATACCACTTGTTGGAACTAACTTTAGGCGAAATACATCGCTTCAATCCAGGAGCTTTCATATTGAATAATTGAGAATCGAGACTCAATAGCGGAAGCATACCTGAATCCATAGGTGATTGATTTGGGGATTTGACCTTCTAGGTCTATACGATCGTGTAACTTTTTAGAGAACCCTTTAATTTTTCTCCGTAACCTCTCTGTCGATGGGATGCAGAAAAGATAATCTGTCAATGTTGTATGACCTAGGGACCACAACCCTTTTATGTACATTAAGTTACATTGGACATCTCTATTTTAGCCCATCATTAAAATAGAAGACTCATTCGTTTCTACACGTTAAAGGCCCACACCCTATTGATACTTTAAAGCCCAATAACTTTAAAACCTAATTGATCATTTTTATTTGGGCTTCTTTATTTGACAACCACAATACAATAATTATTTCACATATTAGTCCAATGTTGGATTAAGGATCCAACAAGCCCTTGTTCGAATTTCAGATTCCATCGAACCTCCATCACGATTTGCAGCAAGCGACCCGAACACAGCGGCACTCCGTCGGCACTTGTTCAGTGGCCCGAACAACAACGGCGGCCCTCGTCGGCCCGTTTGTTTCACAACAGCCCCTCACCAGATCTTTATACACAGCAGCAGACCAAGACCTTTTCTCCCAGCCGGCAACTCGCTAGCAACAGCTTCCGTCCTTTTCACGTTCAACGCCGGGAGTTCTTCAACGAGCGTTTGGGCTGTTCGAGTTCACCGAGCAGAAGCCATCCCCTTTTCTGTTCAGCGGCAGCACCCTTGATGTCGAGTGGCATTCGTATATCGGCTTCCCTTGTCGAGAAGTAGCAGCAGCCCAGCCGCGAGCTAGTTCGTCATCGAACCGAGAGGCGGACAGACCCTTAGCCGAGAGCCGAGAACCGTCCGAGGCCTTTCGCCTTTCGTTATTAGCCGTTTGTTTGACCACGCAGAAGGTAAAAAGCTTAACCCTTTTCTTTTATCTTATTTTAGAATTTGAAGGTTCGAGTGTTTAAGGTTCACTTGCATGGGATCTTTGATTTTTAGAAGAATTATGAGACTTTTAAGTTGTGTGTTGGATTAGATGGTTGGGCTCGTCTTTATTGCCTTTTCTATTCAAAAAATTGAAGAAAATCCGTGGCTCTAATGTTGAGAATAATGCCTCGTAAAGTTAGAGAAATACTGCCTTCAAGTTGATTGGAAATCATGTATTTTTCACCTATGTTTGGGGACCCATTTTTATTTAAAAAATCTAAGGTGAAAGCTACGAATTTTTGGTGAGTATTATAGCTTATGTTATGCCAAGTTTTATGCTGGAAGTTGAGATTTTAAATGCCAAGAGATGTTGTAACACGCCGCCTAGACTTACTAAAATCAGAGTAAATTTTTCGCACTATAAAAGGAAAACTCTGTTTTAATTTTCGAAAAAACTTTAACTTTAATACGCGGGATGCTACTCAACTTTAATCTTAAATCTTTAATCTTTAATATCTTAAACTACTAGGCATGCAACCGAGTATAATTCATTACTCTAAACATCTCAGGATTTAAGCATACGTAGACTGAAATTCTAGATACTGAAATACTGAGTGCGGAAGCAAATGTAAGCATGCATCAACAAAACATAATAACTCAAACATGCTAAAATATACATGACATGTTTACTAAA